TTATGAAGAGGAAGATCAGTTGTGTTGTGATCCTAAATGCTTCCAAGGGACATCAATATATTCTGGATTCTTGCCCTCATTCTTGCATTCAGAATATGGAGCCATTCTCTGAACACAGATGATGTCATCCATTTTTTGAGATCTCTTTGTAAGTAGGGCAAGACCTCTTCAATATCAAGATTAATACCACCTTCTTCTCCAGCTGGTTTCAGCGACACAATACCCCCATCTCTCCTTAAATTTCTCTAACCATCCTTTAGTTGCCTTAAAATCGTTAATATCTAATTTTGTACCCTTTAACTTTGCCTTTTCTTGTAATATTGGCCCACGATTAGGTATATTTGCTCTTCTTGCTAGAATTAGCCAGCCAAAAATACTTTTATCTAATTGCATGTACATGCAGTGTGTGATTTCCTGGAAACGCAACATTGTTCCGCTCGATATGCATTTACTGAGACAATTGTGAGCCGACTGGTCCTGGCAATTCCATATCTACAGGCTTTATCAGCTTTCCTCTCTCCATTGTCGACTGCTATTATAATATTGAGCTTCTGAATGAGCTTCAGCTCCTTGCAATATCTTACTTTTTCCAACGCTTCAGCCAGAATACCATCACACACGATCACACAACATGAATACAAAAGATGCTTATTATATAGTACACACTAGTTCAATGTAACAACTACTGTTAGAAGCATGTTTCCGAAGGGGACCTCGTTCTTATAAATGCTCACAAGACTCGTTGTTCACGACTTTCATAACTAACTTTCCCAAAGCAAACCGAAGCAAACTTCTGACCACAATCCAAATGATCAGCATCAGTACACCATCTCAATATCGCAATTAGGGCACTCTGGTGAAAGAATGTGGAACCTGTGTAAACACACTGGTTTTCGAAAAAAGTGATTTATCATGTTTTCTACTTGACCAATTATGCCATTATTGGTCAATTGTCGATAGGATTTCCAAACATTCAATTTCAATCATATACATTTGGTGCAAATCTGGTGCGATTGGAAACAATGTTTGCTAATTAGAAGGCTAAAATTCATTACATAAAGAGAAAAATACACAGAACTTTATAGCGCAACAGTGGGGCCCATGCACTTCGTTCGTTATTTTTGAGATTTTTGTTAATAAGAGTTTATTAGAGAGTTTACTGTATTTTCTCATGACAAATGAAAGAAGTTGGGTTTTGATTTTGAGAAGATAAAGTATCTTTATCATCATGTGTAATATTTGATTTCAATTTTTAATAAAATAAAAATTACGTTAAGTTACATTAGGAAAACTAGTTAGCTGTGGGCACTAGGAATGCAAGTGCCACTGCCTGACACACTCAAGAAAATAGGTTCAAAATTTTTTAAGACTCATGGGTGAGAAAAAGTAGCAGCATATAATTGGCAGAAGAAATTAAAAAGATGGGAATAGAAATTGCTCTGTTGCCAGAAACAAAGAAAAAGAGACAGGGAGTAGAAGAAATAAGACTACATTTACATATATAGTGGTGTCAACAAAGAATTCAGAACTTAGAAAGGAATTTTCATTGCTGTGTTAAAGAAATATAAACATAACATTAAGAGTTGGTCATGTGCGAGTGAGAATATTTTAAAAATTGATTTTAAAATTAAATGTATTGAAATGGTAGTTATAGGCGCATATGCTCCACACAACAATACTACCCAATTGGAGAAAGATATTTTAATCAGCTGATGACGGTCTTGCATGGGATACCAAACCAGAAAGATTTATTTTCAGTGGGAGATTTTAACAGAAGAGTTGGAAGGCTTGTGACAAGACGAAGTTGTAGGAAGATATGGAGAGGAAGTGGTAAATGGAAATGGTGAACGACTAATAGAATTATGCACCCAGTACAGTTTAAAAGCTTGGACTTTTTTTTTTTTAACATAAAGACATTCACAAATTCACTTGGTCTAGAGAAACGAGAAAAAACATAACAGATTACATTATTGGAAAACACCAAACAACAAAATAAAGGTGGAAAATGTTCGAGTGTTTAGAAGAGCCGAGTGTAACTCAGACCATTTTTTGTTGAAATCAAAAGTGTATCTTCCTTATGTAAACAAGTCACAGCAATCAGTAATTCATGTATCCAGTACCACAGAGGAAAAATAATACAAAATGTGTTTGCTTGAAGATTCATGTATATCCTTCCTTTACAAGCTCAAGTTGAGTAAGAAACAGAAGTGAACCAAACATCTACGCAAACACTCTACGATGGAAATGTAGATGCCGTACATCAAGCAGCTTATGAGAGCCTTGGAGAAATAGAACATACTGGTGGGAAAGGAATATGTGATTCATTGTGGAATAATTCTTTGGCATGGAAGTGCGAGACAAGATAATTGCTCAATACAGGGTTAAGCACCCAAGATATTGAAGACAGAAAACGGTATCGTGAAATTAGTAGAGAAGTGAAACAAGTAAGAAAAGCAAAAAATGAAGCTTGGGAAAGAGTATGTGAAGGTGCAGAACAGAGTACAGGCAATGCCAGATCAAAGAACTCATGGATAATAATTAAGATCCTCAGACAAAACGAAAAGTAGAATTTAGTACTACAATCTATAACTACAGATCAATTTAAAATACATTTCAAAAAACTTTTGAAAGAAAATAGGTTTGCATTTAGTAACAAGCACAACAGAGAGCTCAAGGAACCAGCTGGAATAGAATATATGGAATCTATTACAGTGAGAGAGACTGAAAAAACAATACAGAGATTTAAAAATGGAAAAGCAGCCGGTCCTGTATTTACCAATCCTGCAGTCCAGGATTGGTAAATATTGAATTGTTGAAGCATGGCCCCAGATTATTATTGGATCTTCTTACTCGACTGTACAATAGATGTTTAATGGGGAAGAATTACCCAGGGACTTTAGGAAAGAATATATCTCTAACATCTACAAGAAAGGTGATAGAAAACTGTGTGCAAATTATAGGCAATATTATGCAAGGTGATAGAAAACCGTCCTTTGCAGCAATGGCCAAGTGTATGGGAAAATATTAAAAACCCGACTGGAAAGAGACCTCATTGATGTCGAGGAACAGAACGGCTTTCAAGCAGGGCGCTCATGTATTGTTAACGTGTTCAGTATTAGGCAGGTAACTGACAAACGTCTCGCCCATATCTTGAAGACGCACCTTGTGTTTATCGATCTGCATAAGACCTACAACACTGTTCCATTATCTAGGCTGTGGATGGCGATGGAGAAACAAAATGTAAATATGCAGTTGATTAGAGCTGTTAAAAATTTGTATAGTGATTATACGAGAAAAATAAAAGTAGGGAGAAACGTTTCAACAACATATCCAGTAAATAAAGGTTTATGACAGGGGTGCTTTATGGCCCTGACTTTGTATAAAATGTATTTGAATGAAGCCCTGAAGATGAAAGAAGAAATGTTGTAGTATGGGTATTAAAATTGGTGACTATGTTATTCTCTCTACACTTCGCAGATGATCAGGTGGTGTTCGCTGAAGATGAAGACGATGCTCTATACATGCTACGAAAATTATACGAAGAGTACTCGGAATGGGGTTTAGAAATAAATCTTAACAAGACTGAGTATATGGTTGTAGGAGAAAGTGCTAAAGGTCTGAAACTGGATGATGGTTCGGAAGTAACACCCTGCCAAAAATTCAAATACCTCAGTTCGGAAATAAATGCAAATGAACGCAGTACACACGATATTATAAAGAGAACTGCAAAAGGTAGAGTGGCTAGAAGACAATTACATCCACTGATATGGAAAGATAAATTAAGTAAGAGTGTAAATAGAAAATTATATAAGACTGCTGTAGAGAATATTGCCCTTAATGGATCTGAGGTATGGGACAAAAACAAAAAAGAGCGAAAAGAAATTGAAGGCAATGGAAATGGACTTCTGGCGCCGAAGTTGCGGACTGACTTTAATGGATAAAGTTAAGAATGAAGAAATTAAACATACAGTGGAAGTGAGTTTTAATATAATTGACACCATAGAAGTGAAAAGACTAAAATGGTAAGAGCACATACAAAGAATGAACGAAAACCATTGGCCAAAAATATTGTGGAAATGGCAACCAGCTACCCATTGATGAAGAGGAAGACCTAGACTTACATGGGAAGAGGGAGTGGATGAGGCAATGGTGAAGAGAGGGTTGAATAATGAAGACTACACTGATAGAGTGATGTGGAGGCTGGGATGCGAGAGACATGTAGGGTGTAATATAACTCACTATACTACTACATATAATTGGCCATTAACCCTCTGACTGCTGTGAGAGTGCCTGTATGTCCAGCGGAATCCATATCCCATGTGCTATGAACATTTTTGTGCATCAGGGACTTGCAGTGCCCTCAGTGATATGGACATACACGTACATTCTGACTAGAATTTGCTTTCTTTCATGTCAACAAGATCGCGTATTTCGCTTCAGTAACTGGGATGATATCTAGGGTTGTACAAAGGTTTGAAGACTTCCTTTCATTGCAAATACATGAAATTAGGTAATTTTTTGGGGACCTGGACAGTTCCTACCCCTGACAGTGCCGCCTAACTGCGCGAAGTCCACAGCACAGTGGGCAGCATCCCCAGCCAATAGCTCAGCACTGCGGACATGCCAACTTATACAGTGATTAGCAATCAAAGGGTTAAAAAGCAATGTTAACCTGATAAACAAAATAAAATAATAAAACAAATCCATTAGCATTAGTAATAATAAAGCATGTTCATAATTTTTAAACTTTCATGTCCTTTTTTTATTTTTCAGGAAGGAGTGACTTGAATTTCAGTTCTGTATGGATCCTGAAATTCTCTAGTTCAGCCACCCCCCCTCCCGCCCCCAAAAAATGGGCTTGCAAATTTTTAAAAACAATTCCCAAAGGCAATTGTGAAGCTCCAAAAGGTTGGTTTTTTTTATTACAAGTTATGGAACAAAAAGGATCTCTGTTACAGATATCAGGAACATTATTACCACTTGCTAACATCAATGCCCACCTTAGTGAAAGTAGGTGGAGGGCTGTATGGTGCAGCCAGACGATCCAGATGTGAAGTTATAACTACAGCAGCCTGCTTTAAATCAATGGCAGCACAATCATCTTCTGGAAGCTGTAGATAACGAAGGAAGACTTCTGTTGGAGATACATGGATGCCAGATGCATCTTCCCAAGTGCCACCACATCCTAAAGCAGCTTTTGCACAGGGAACCCGCTCAAATCTTCTTAATAGAGGAACTAATGGAGCACTCCAACCTGATGATACCACTCTGAAAAAAATAAATGAATGAACAAAAGTCATATCATAACTAAGGTCCGCATAAAATTAAAAGTTAATTGACAACAGGACGTGGAGGGGACGGTATTGACATGTGCTGGGCATACCAAGCAATAAGATTAGCCAACTTTTAAGTTGAAGTTAAAAGACTATTAGATGGTCTAAGTTTGTATGAAATCAAATAATTTGTAATTGAATTAAAGAAATAATATGTATGAACTTATTAAATGGTATTTCATAAGATACAATGGGCATAAAAGGTAAAGATGAATGAAACAGAGAGGCGTGTACAAATTTCTTCTAATATTGTTACTTTGTGACAACTATTATATGTACTGTTTTTACCCAAATATAAGACTAGGTTTTCCCTTCAATATTGTAATGTAATACATACCAAAGTTAAAGTATCTAACGAAACAAATAGAAACCAGATATTTCCCACTGAGTAGCAAGAAACAAAATACAAGAACAAACAGGGGAGGGCAAAAAAATAAATAAATAAATAAATTCCATTCTAAGCATGTTTGATTTGGGTACGGCCATGATCTTTTGTGGACTAAAGCATTTGAGGACAATTCTCATGAAGCTAGGAGGAGGGGGAGATAGACAACAAGGCAGGGAGGTAAGTTCTCCCCAGATGATCATATGCCAACACGAGCATGCATGACTTTTAAGGAGCTTCAAGTGCTTGGGGTCCTCTTCAACTCAAATCAAAAATTCTCATCCCTTATTGATAGGGTTAGCTCGAAAGCTTATTGTTTACTTGGATACATTAAAGACTGACAACTGATTTTGCAAATAATGGGTCTCATTGAACTCTACATTTGTTTCTAATTAAGCCTAATCTATGCATTCTCAGTGTGGTCACCTATTTATGTTAAAAAAGTTCAAAAATTGTAAAGTATATAACACTAATTTCTTAATTTTGTGGCATAAAAATGATGATTGCCGTCACCAAGAATCAGTCATGATTACAGTACAGTGAGCTCATTAATGAACATTAGCTATTACAGTTCTATAGGAAATATGATGAAGTAAAATGTTTATACAAGTTATTAGATAATGAGAATGACTATATGTATCTGCATGCAAAATTACAATGGAAAGTTACAAAAATAAATCCTTGGATTAAGGAACAAATATATTTTACAACATAGACTGAGAGACAAACCTATTCTTTAACGCACCATTATGAGAATGTGTAAACTTGCGAATGATTTAATCATTGACAGGAACACTACTAGTATTGTATTAATTTAGCAAAAACCTCTCTGTTAAATTATTTTGTATAAAATGTTTTCTGTAACATTATTGTTATTATATATTTATGTATGTTATTATAAATTTTTATACAATATACCTTGCTCAATGTGGAACATGTATAATACAGAAATATATCTAATGTGAACATAAATGGCAGTGCCAGCAATCGTAAAGTCTGCAGTGTTTCATAGCATAATGCAGAATTTTGTCTATTATGGAAAAAAATATTGGTCCCTTGAGATTCTCAAGGGACCAGTATTTGATTGTTCACTAAATTTCATTTTACAGTGAAATTTTACATCAGGCCTGATTTCTTATCACAGCTACTTTATTCACCAAAATTATCAAAACTAGTTTACCGATTATCAAGTTGATACTTTGCACCATCCCAAAGCCGAAGCAAAAGTAGTACGGCATCCAAGAGACCAGAGAGAGCACCTCGCTGAACAGCAAGTTCCAGCAACAAACACAGGGCAGTGTGGCGATCGGCAGGAGGCACTTCACCCCACCCTGCACTGCTTCGTGAAGTTCCTCCTGTGTTACCATCACTAAAAAATTCAAAGAATTAAGTCAATTGATGGTTTCACTTTCCCATACTCTAAATGTTTTAAAATGCTTTACTTCTTCACTGACTGAACAATGTCCAGTTGGCTGAAAGCTAAAATTTAACTACAACTATGGAAGCTTATAACTTATAATACATATAAACAGTTCTTATGAAGTGATCGTCCAAGTGTTTTTTAATTTTTTTGTGAAATTTCCTTTCAGTTAAGAGCAATCAATAATAGTAACACACATTATGAAGGAATAAACAATTATATAATGACTTATTATATATCATTTACTACACACAATTGATCTTGATTGTCCTTAATTGAAAGTAAATTTAACACCAACACCAACAACAACAACAACAAAAGAATAATTTTTAAGTTTATTGTTATATTTGAAACTTTCATAGACTTCTAAAAATAGTGAATATTTCAAAGAATTCTCTTTAGTTAGGAATTAATCTAGGCATAAAATGTAACTTACCCCAGAACAACTTGACGCAAAAATTTGGCTGATCTTTCGACTACTTCCAACCATACTGGAGAAACTGCTGATTCATCAAACAATGTAGCTTCTGGTAATGAGCGTAATGCCTCAAGAGATTCCGAAAGCAGTTCAGAACATAAATCAGCATCTTCACCTGCGTCAAACAAAGAGTTTTTAGTGCTAATACACAATTGATATTACAAACGAATTATTTATGAAATTATCTTATTTAACTAGATTTTTCCATCCTCTTGCAGAATTAAGTCATAGGCTAAAGTGATTCTATTCTAAGTAGTTTATTAGAATAGAAATAGCACAGGAGAAACAAGCGTAAGAAATTTTGAATGATCGCTGGAGACAATACTAGAAGTTTTTCAGAAAATAAATAATAAATGAATAAATAAGTAAATGACAATAATAATAATAATAATAATAATAATAATAATAATAATAATAAATAACAACAACCATCATCATCATCATCATCGGGACAGCAAAGCAGGCCGGATATAATGAGGTTACATTTATTTATTTTTGTCTAATAGACATTTGTGATTAATAAATATCTACGCTACTTCAGCTAGCAAAATATACCAAGTGTTATCCCTCTGATAATTTAAACTAATTGACTAATTATTTACAGTAATAAACAAAACAAGTGTAAAAAGAGAGGGATAATTGCATGAGTGGTATGTTTAAGAAAACAAGTTTTCTTATATACCATGAGTGCAAGTTGAGTGTTACATTCAATATTTTTTCATTTCTATTTAAGAACAATTTAAATTTTGAGAAATTCAAGTGCATCTTTCCCTTTAGTGGAATACATTTCATGACGCATTGCTTCTGAAAAGATCTATTTTATTGGGCCTTGCATTGTATGTTTGCAAGAAATATTTGCATGTGGAAGGTACTGATTGAACATATTGCAGATAAAATGTTACAAAAAGCTGACACAGCCAGGAAAACAGTACTTCCCACAAAAAGTAAAGGCAGGTATGAGATAGGATACATGTATAAATTTTGGTAGGTAAAATTATTAAAAAATCTGGTCGCTTCTGCCACAGTTTCACCACAGCATACTTTTTAGAATGGGTAAACACAACTGACTTTTACTTTTTTATACTTGTAATCATAAGACCTCAACTTTATACATAAAACATTTCATTGATTCACATTAAATATTTTATTTGTTCCATTAGTCAGCTAGCTTAACGTTTCCTTCACCAATTAAGTTTTTCCTCATTCGTTCTTTATTTGCTGTTGTTGTAGATATGTAATCTGTGATGTACATTTTTGTTCAGGTTTTTAAGGCCGACAGGAAAAACCTTTGCTAAGCATGTGTTATAGTGTCTTAATTAAATGATTTTCCTCCTTTTCTGAATTCTGAAACGTGGACGTGTAGTTTTAATTTGCATGGTGGAATTTTAATTTCATGCATGCTCTTAACATAGATATAACCAACAATTTTTCATGGAATTAATGAGCATATTTAGTTAACTAAACAAAAAACTAATTAATGGAAATTTAAGTAACCCACCTAGCCAGGTTGAAATAGTAGGATTGAGCAAGTTGAACATCATTTCCAGAAATGAGCAGATTTTTTCAACCTGGCAAGGTAAGATGCTGATGTATTATAAATAGAGAGTTCTACATTTGAATTCCCACGGTAATAAAGCTTTTCTGATACCAAACATGTTAATGTAAGGTATAAACAGGTTCAAAATTAAGGAGTTTGAAACAATTAAAACATGGTTCCCGTGGCTCAGGGCAAAGTCACTTGTCTTTCACCACTGAGATTCTGGGTTCGATTACCGAAGAATCTCATGTGAAATTTGTAACAACGAAACAAGTTTGTCTACTTCACAAGGGCTAGTTCAACCCCCTGTGAAGCGTCCTAAACCTGACCCCTATCCTTATCTCTACCCAATTCTGGCCGATGGATAGATCACACAGGGCATGTGCAAGATGTGAGTGCAATGACTCTACCTGTCAGCGATTCCCTGACTTGACTGTGATTGCCATGACTACCCAGCGGCCCCTAGAGGGCACTTGTAACAGAGAATTACTCCAATTAAAAATTGTGAATATTAATGAAGGATTACTCCACAGAATGCTCAATGCTCCTTAAGGATCTAGGAGATGCGTTGCATGTATATAGATGCAACAAATTAGAAGCCAAAACAAAAAAAAAAAAAAATTAAATATAAAAAATAAATCATAGAATATTTTAGCAGATTGTAAAGTGGGAAGTTTTAATATTTTTGATATATTATTGTAATTATGAGGGTACATTAAATTCAGTATATTTATTTTGTAATCTGTGTAAGGAAAAAATGTTGCTGGACAGTTTCAATCTTTTAATTAAATAATTTGTGCTTGCAGGTATCAATATTTTTAATACTTACTTGTTAATACTTTTACCAATATATTACAAGGTATCAAAGTCACCTGCAAAAATATTCATTGTGCTTGGAGACCATATTTGATAGTTCAGACTTTACTAGGGAATTATATAATATTATAAGTATTTGTGGAGATCTACATTTTGATGAGAACCTTATAATGAAGCCCAACATTTTTAAAGATTTGTTGATTGTTGTGAAAGTGCATATTAATATATAGTATTTTATCTATTGTTATGCCAGCTGCTAAAAGTAAGACATGCTTTAGAACTGATAACTTACAGGTCTTCAACTATTGTACAAAATCTGCTTGAAAATGATTTCATGTTTCAAATGGCCAGACAAAAGTCACAAAATACTTCAGAGACAATTATTTTTCCCAATGCAACTTACTGACAGGCAGGTGCTCAAAAGTTGACCCTCCCCAAATAATACATAGGAATAGATTAAACCGAGTGTTTGAAATCATGTGATGCTAATTAGCTATTGCTCCTCAAAATCTTTCAGAAAATTGAGATTGTACTGAAAAGTAATTTCAGTTTCAAGTTTCAAACAAAGGAATTTGACAGAAAGAGAAGAAATTACTTTAACTCTTGAAGCCAATTTCCACTACCCAAACATTGTTCACCCAAAATGTACCAAGGATGCCCATTTTTATATTCCCCCGAATGGATGGTGAGATCCAGCACCGTATTACTTGTTGGCTGGAAGGGTTTTCCCCAAACAGGTATCCCCTACCAGCAGTGAGGAAATATTTGCGTTAAGAGATTTTTTTTGAACAATGATTATTCGTTTGTTGGATAATCTGATGTCCCAGGACAAAACAGATATCACTCTTCGATTCATAGCACATAAAAACACAAGAATCAGTCAACTAAATTGAAACAGCTGACCAAAATATTTGGTCGTCAACATGTTGGATTCATGATTTTATTGCTTGAATAATGAAATTAACAATTGCATACAAAAATTGTAACCAGATCTACTAGTTTCCAACTCACCAGAGCGCCATGCACGTCGTAAAAATGCAAATGAAAAGTTCAGAGCAGCTCTTGATCCAACACGAGCAAGACTAATTGTTGCCTTTTCACCAGCTTTTGTGCTGCAAAACAAATCAACATTAGTTCACCAAAACCAATGTTAATACATCACAAAGCATTAAACATGTCTATCCAAAAGCATTCATTTTGTCTCAAATCATGCTGACATGTATGTTTTTCACAATACAAGTATTGAGTAGTTTATAACTAAAGTCCCTTAGGAATCTTCAAATTTAGGTTCAAGCAAGCAATGTATTCGATATGAAGTTCATATTATGAAACTTCTTAGTGCCTACCATTGAAATGAACATTGATTCAGTAAAATCAAATAAAGCCAAATCACAGACTAATGCTTTTTAAATAAAGGGCTACTAACCTACGTAAACTGCCCGGAGTTGTAGGTGCTGCACCAACTGCTGATGAAGCTGTTGGCGTTCCTGCAGCAACTCCTGCAGCCCCTGGAACTCCAACGGGAGCTGTAGCAGCAGGGCACGTCACATTGCCTGACGGGGAGCATGAAGTGTCTGTTGTAAGAGCATGGCGACCCAGAGCCGTGAAATATCGCTGTGCAACTGTCAAACGTTGACGAAGTCGATGTGCTGACAAAGTAGTGGCTGCAGCTTCATGACAAAGAAGTCGCTGTTCATGAGCAAGGGCTTGTATGCAATGAATAAGTTGTTCCCCACCTATGAAAAATGGATAATCAGATTATAAAAAACAAAATGTAGAGTATTAAATAAATGACACTTTATAAACACATTAAGTCGTAACATTAAAATCGTGACATTGTTCAATCTATGAATCAACGTTCCGTTCATTTCTTCATTCACACACTGCAGTTAATATTCCTGTTTGCGGATGCAAATGATCGAATTTCCTCCTTTTCGGGTTCACTGTATGGGCAATTCAGCCTATAATGATATTGTTATGTCAATTATATGTAGTTATCGAACTTAACAAACAAGCTGTCAGTCTAACCATTACACTGAATGACCAGAGCGATGGGGATGCATGAATTGTTTCAAATTTTGTTAAACAGTAACTTCCATACTATTGCTGATCCATCACTGGCAACCATAAATACAGAAAGACAAACAAAATTAGAACATTTAAAAAAGTTTCAAAGATGGTAAAGTTGTTGAAATTAATTTTCCGAAGTAGATTCACAATCATGTAATTAAATAATGAATGTTCCAGATCATGGGATTTGGTCAGAGTACAAATTGAAATATTAAATCACATCATTTTATTCCATCATCAGGGCTAGTAATTTAGAAATAAACAACAAGACTGTTAATATATGTCTCACACATGAACATTATTAATATATAGAAACTGACAGAAGAGACATACATCTTTACACTATCCAGTAACATAGTTAACTCAAAAAATTTGGGGTCATTTTGAGAACATTTTGAACATGTTGAGGCTTCCTGAAAAGTACCCCCAAAATCATAATATCCATTTCAAACTCACAGGGCCTAGAATTCCTTTAGAATGATAAGAGATTTTCTGTAGAAAAATCATTGAATTTCACTGCACAATTATAATACTTTGCCTTTACTATGTTTGTTCAATGGCAAGAAAGAGAAAAAAATTAAAATAATTTCAGACATTGAGTGGGTCCCATTTACGAAAAACTAGGTACTTGAGAGGCTGTCGGAACGTTTAATTCACATAAACAAGATGCAATCATATTTCACAATTATGAGGGGGATACCACTACATCTCTCTAAGAAATTTATTTTCTAGATTGAAGAGAGAAACTTATTATTGCGAGCAGTTATTATCAAGCTACATAAAAAATCTTGCGTTTTGTTGCAAGAAAAAAAAAGAAAAGAAAACTATTAGGGAATGAAAACTTAAAATTCAGGCAAAAATCAGAAAAGAGTAAATTGACAAATTTAAAAAAAGATTTTTGGTACAATATCTTAAAATTAGTAGCTTTTGTGGAGTTTGTATATTGAGTTTGAGTTTGATCTAGTCAATATCGATATTATCAAGTTGGTATAAAATAAAGTTAGAATAGGAATACTATTCAATGCAAGACAATATAATGGAATGAAAAAATAATTACATCAAACCTTAATTAGCTAAATATACTTACTTGGCTGAGGACCCCATATCCAACTGTCCAGCTGTGGCTGTGACATCGGAGGTGATACAGTTTTAGCTTCATTGCGAGCTGCCTCTTCTCTATCAAGTCTTTGACAAGGAGCACAGTTGCACCCAGTTTGTGGACCACAGATACCATCACAACAGGCACACATAAGAACGCGAAGACCACAATAATAACGACCAGTTTCTCCTAAATTAAATAAAAATTAGACATTTTATTACAGGTCAAATTCTTTCATTAATTAAAGATAGCACGTACAATTACACAAACATTGAAAATTCATTGTATGTATTCCATGTTACTACCATTTTAATGGTAATGAATGCATCATATAATGAAATGAGCAAATGCAAGTGTAAGTTGTCACTATCTATTTCTGTCTAGTTAGTACTCATTTCAGCAGAAAAAGTGGCTTGAAGGTGAAAGGGAGGATCAAAGTTTTATGACAGAATTCTATTTTAATGACTTTCGTATGATCACAGGAACATGAGATCCTCTTAGTATTGAAGTTTTCTTAAATAATATCATCATCATCATCATCATCATCATCATCATCATCATACATGCATAGGGCATAATTTTGCCTAAGTAGCAGCTGCTGTTGCGCATCATGAGCAGGATGCCTCCCAAAGGGCATCTCTCTGCCAGGCATGATCAACAGCAGAGATTCCTTAACCAATTTATCTCATTAAACGAATTGTTTGCTTCATCAACTAACTACCTGACACCTTTTCTACAATATATAGCATCCATAATCATGACACAAAGAATTGCACATAAGCGCCTTAAACGTAATTTCGTACACTAATATTTTCATAAATATCTTGATTTTTCAACAACTGAAGATAGTAGCTGTGTGTCCAAACATCATTGCAATGGAATGGTTACAAAATATTGAGTGGTTTTTAAGAACTGCAATACACATTGCAGAGAGTACTTTCTTACACAGGAGAGTATCATTGTAAAGGCATAGATTTAAATTCTTCAGTGTTCTAAACATTCTAATTTCAGAGGATAAATGATGGGTATGAAAGATGAGGAGCAAATTTGAAATTTATTATCATGTTTTGTTGCTTTATATTATAAATAAATTAATTAAGTTCAAAGAAATCTCTGGTCTAGAGCCACTCACAAGCGAATGCACACCAAGACTTTTTTATTGATGGCATGTCAATGTCCTTTTTGTGCTCTGACTTTCTGTATCCTGCAACAATTCTAAAAAATGTCATTATTATTGCGTCAAGTCAACTTGTTATTTTTTCTTTTTCTCTCAACTTTCACATCCACTTAGGATCAGAGACTAATATTATTTTGTGAACAATTTTTTCACAAACGTAGTGGTGAAACTTGCATTTCTCACAAAAATTTTAAGCGAGTTCTTTCTAACTTAATTTCACAGATACTTCTAATGATTCCATTAAAATAATAAATCTTTTGATTACTTTCTTATCAATATCCCACATTAAATTGGTGAGACACCTAAAAATTTAGGTATATTTAGTAACTCTGTTGTTTTATTTTCTAATTGGATTTTTGATCTCACAAAATGCCACAGTCGTTTTTCGACCTCATTGAAACAATATTTCTTTAAGAGTCTCAATAACTGAAGTAATTAAAAAATTGTTAATAATTATAAAATTTAAAAGCTTTTAAAACTTTTTTATACATCCACTTTTCATACTATTGCTACCAGTTGCTATCCAATTGATTCTGAACGTGATAATCAATTCTTGGTAATAAACAAGATGTAAGTTCAAAATTATATTTTCACTACATTCGTTTTGTTGTAAGCCACCCTTTGTAATTCTTTAGAAAGTCATTCTTTTTTATTATTCTGATCTCTAATGCATTTTTTTTGTTGATTGTTTTAATGTTTTACGTTCACCAACAATGCCTACGTTGCATCCTCCTCTAAGTATCTTGTAAGTTGCACTCAGATCATCTCGTTTTCCCCTCTTTTCCAAGCTGAATAGCTCCATCTATCTATCTATCCATCCTGATATTCATACTGCTGTAACCCTTTCAGAATTTTGTACAACACCCACTGTGATTTCTTAAAAAATTCAATTTTTTTTTATCGATCAAACCAGAGTAGACTGGCATATTTTAGCATTGGTCTCATGTATACTACATAGGTTTTTTGAGCTGTGTGTTGAAGGAAAGCCAAGCTCATGCTGAGAGAAAAAAGCTAACAAGTAAATTCAATCATTGATTTCAGAAGCCCGTCAAACGCCGAAATACAAAACACGCTTTAGCAACAGGTTATTGTGCCAGGAGGAAAGATACATTGTTTAGTGCATATTTATATGAAAAATATTTATTTATCAACTCCTTTAATAAAAAAAAAATATATATATATATTCTGAAATCTGAAAAATCGGGAGACTTATTCTCAGTTTTCTTGAAATGAGGAATTTGGTGTTTGACATGTTTCTGAAATAAACGATTCAATTGATTTGTTAGCTTTATTCTCTCAGCATGGGCTTGGCTTTTTCTCTTCACATCCTGAGTAATAATCACACTGAGGTTCATTTGCATTTCAGTTGATACAATAATTTTTGATGATTTAAGATAGAACAGGGCTGTTCTTTCCTACATCTTCTATCTTTACAAGTGTCAGACCCTTTTCGTACTTGTTGCAGATCTTTTTGGAGTTGATTGTGAAGTATCACTGAGATAGACCCCTGGTTCTACTCCTATCCTAACTAGCAAAAGATGTGTTTAGAAAAAAACATGCACATAGTGAAACTACATTTAGATCCAGAAGCAAAAAAAGGAGTCATCTCAACATTTGTACAACGGATCAGGGAAACGAAATGAAAACCTGATGAAGATGGGACACACTGACCCAGAAGCTGAAGAACACTACTTGATATAGGCATATTAAGTCTTTTTTTTTTAAATTACATAATACAAATATGAACTAATGCACTCCATATAATCATTAAAACTGAATTGTTACTGAATTATTTACATCAAACGCATTCATAATACAACACTGGCTAGAAACAAATAATGATGTAAGAAATGTGTTTCGTTGGAAAACTTACCTATATCAAATGAAATTTAACTTTGCAAATTTTAATATCATCCACAATGTTAAGATGTTCACTTTTAGAATGCAAAATACATTGACAAAGAGAAATGAATTGCCTAATTTAAGAATTACAATAAATAAATCATGCGGAAAACAAACTTATTACAAGAATTATCATTCACAAAATATTTAACGATTATGCTAAATCACAATGTAATTCTCTTGTTGATGTTAAAAATAGTGAGAATTACATTCCTCTTATATGTAATTTATTCATGAGCATAGTCACGACACAGTATTTACTTCCATAAAAAGAAATAACCTTACCTTTGCGTGCAGTAATTCCCACTGAATTAAGTAATCCATCACTAAACGATCCTGTAATTTCTCCATCTTTAACCATTTCATTCCAGAGATGAGACAATCCATCTGGATTTAGAGCTTGCTGAAGATCAGTTTTTAGCCATTTACTATCTAACCGGCTCTGTGTCCGGACCACTATGTCTAATTGTCGGGTCATTTTCTTTCTTTTTCTTTAAGACTTAAGATTTCTTTACATTAATTTAAATCTAGAATGTAAATAGAATACAATATTTATTTTATCCAACTGGTCACAACATAAGACAGGGGGCAAATAAGTTTAGTACAACACAATAACAATAATATACAATAGAAACATAGTTAACAAATCCCTACATAAACATGCATGATACAATCAATTTCTTTTAACTTTATCTGAGTAATCTTACACTAAAAAATATTACACAAACCACTAACGCTTATATACAACCTATTTACAACATATTTCATAACTAAACAGAACAAAATAATGAATACATACTCCATTCTACAGTACATTCTTACACTAAAAAACCCTTACACTTCAAAAATTCTTTAACATAATAAAAGTTGTCATTAGATAAGAAGGAATCCTTTTTATTGCAACTGACTCACATTAATCTTTTAAGATGATGAGGCAGATGATTGTAAAAACAAAGTCCAGTCGGAAAGAAGTAATTTTTCCTGCGAGTGTCAACAGGCATTTACAAACAGATTGTTTTTATTTCTTGTATTACGAGAATTTACAAGGAATTTCTTAGTACAAAGATGTGAATTATATTTTAACAAACATTACTGTTTTATAAATGAATATATGGTAGTACAATGTAGGTAATGGTAGTAGAATGTAGTTTTTTTAATTTTTTTTTTATTGTCTTCAACTTTAAATAGTGTTTCTACTAACATGCATCTTTATTCTAATTGATATTTTCTGAAGTTTAAAAATTGACATTGCATTAGAAGAGTTAACCCAGAACATTACTTCGTATAATAAGGGGGAGTAAAAGTAGGCAAAATACAATACATGAGGTGACTCAATTCGTGAAACTCTCCTGATGTGTCATAAAGCAAAAAAACAACAAAGAAACTCAACTTTTCTTATGGTTCTTGAATTCGTGGTTTCTATTTCAACATGTCTAGCCAAACCATCTAAAATTTTGTTTGATCCACCTAAGGGATTCTTTGTTTCGAATCTTTACAACAGAACATTAAATATTAATGTTTTGGAATTGATGGAAAAAAAAAATGAAATAGTTTTGACAGTTGCAATATATCATTATAAAAGAGAAGAAAAGGAACTGCTTTACAAAATTTTAACTGGAGGAGGACTAAAATAAAGGTAAGGATTTAATATATTCTGAAATTCGTTCATGACATTTTAAAACTGAAATGCAGTAAGCCGGGAGGCTTAAATTACTCCAAGTAAACTTCACTTACCGAGGAATTTTTGATAGAAAAAAAATACTCTCGCACAATCCATGGAAAGAAATGTTGAATTTCATCATAATATTTCGAATTGTACAGAAGAGCAACGCAAATAAAGATAAATCACACGAACTGTCACTAGTGTACTCGGCACCGTTCGATGAATACCCATTACCAGAATACACCACCCACTGCCGCCACCCCACCACCATCAACACTCACACACACGAGCCTATTGTTTAATGTCAGAGTGACTAATGACCAATTCGGACTTCTTGATTGTGACATAACATTATTTTGCCGCAATTTGGACATTGTTATCCAATCAAAAGCTTTGATATGACTTTAACTTTTTTACATTAAAGCTTTCGATTGGGTAACTGCGTCACCGCTGATGATTTGTCATATACCATTCTAGTTGAATTGAACAACATATTCCACTCAGCATTCGGCAACATTAGCGCTATTGTGGTACTTTTAGAAACTATTACGAGTAGAACTGATTCCCTTCTGTCGCTGTTCTGGTTCCACAGAACAAAAAAGGTTCTGGTTTTGTCCAGAGAGTATTATAATAGTTCTTTCAGATTAGCCCGTTCAGCCCGTTGATTGGACAAAATACCAATGATCTGACTTTTGCGAAGGGCGCGACTTTCAACTTTCTGAATTATTTCCCACTGTTATTAAAGTGAGTAAATATAGGGCCTGATACAAATACATTAATTGCAAAAAAATAAAATTATATAAAAACTACAAAGTTAATTTTCATAGCGTGAAAATATTCTTGAATGGCATAAAATACCTTGGTTTGGGTTTTCCAATCAAATTTTTGTAAGAAATTACCAAGAAAACCAACTGCAGTGTCGTTCAAATCCATGATTTACAAAAGGAAACGTCTGTCTTATTACCTGAACCTTGAATAATTAGCAGACTTATGAAAGATAAAAGGGTTTGGATTTCTTGTAGTTTCTTTGGCTCCCGAGAAAAAATAAGTATAATGTATTTGCAGTTGATATAAAATAATGATTTAATAAACCACATTTGAGTTGTAATGACAAAGTAATCAACATTTTAAATACATACATCTTCCCCTCCTTCCGTTTGCATAAGCCACAACCATCCATATAACGGTGTTTTCTGTGGCAACTCAGCAGATCATGATTCAAAAATTACTATGTATATGAACATTTATTATAAACAAAAATTGAATTAGTAATCAGTGGCGATTCTAACTTTCTGGAGTTCCTGGTAGCGAGATCATCAGTGGCTTCTTTCACTCCCAAAATATTGCTTAATTTGAAGAACCTTTCATTATAAAAATAACAAAAGGGGTCTCTTATTAACATGTTTTCCATAATAAAAGACTAAAAATAACAAAAGGGGATTAAAGACTTCGCTAAATGTCTTTAAATAACGCACTTTTATACAAAGATGGTTTGTTGATTTGAGATTTCGTAGTTTGAATTTTCTATTAACATTTTTAGAAATATTAAAATAAAAATATTAATAATGATCATTTAATATTTTTATAGTTAATTTTATTTTTAACAAGTAAATTATTGTTGTTAAAAATTAATGTTATAATTAATTAAAAATCAAACGTTAATGCTATTTATGGTCCATGGAGGACGCTGTCATAAATATTTGCGTAGCGTCGAGACGTTTGTACGTACGGGACTTATGTACGTTTTATTAATTATATATTAATTATAAATTTTGTATGCACCTTGGAGAACAAGCAAAGACGAAGGACACAATGTATTATTTCTGACATGTATAGGAACGCCAGGGGTAGAATAAGAACAGTTCTTTGTCAATGTATTTATTACAATCAACCAGAAATCCAAAAGTCGCAATCCAAAATACAAGCCTAGTCACAAAAATTCCGGTCCCAATCACATCTCCAGGCTTCCAAAATGTTCTAGAACATTCCAAGTGTGCAGGAAGTTTAGCCAAGGATCTTGTGCTAATAAAAATTAATTAATACGATTTTAATTTATTTATTCACTTTTTTTTACATTTTCAATTTACAAATGTTTAAACACGATACTTTCTCGCTTTCTTCTGTAAGAGCCTCGATTTCTTCCACTGTGTCGACAAGTGGTTTTCCTCTTGTCTCTGGTAGAATAAGTACAACCACTGCAATTCCAATATTAGCAATACCACACAATCCGGCAGGTAATTGAGGTTTAATGGCTCCCTGGAAAACAAAACATTTTAAATTAGCAAAATATCAAGGAGCCAGTTACTGAGCATAGATCAATCGATTCGTGATCAATGATTTATAAGATTTGAATTTTTTTATTAATTTTTACTTTCTCGCGTATTGCTTACGCAAAACAGAAAAAAGTATTGTAAACCGCCGATTGCCGTGCTCTGGTAACTGAAAAGTGGATAAATCTTCTTCCTATATGTAATAAATTACTTCCTCTAAA